ATCCCAAATCCTCAGCAGGATCTTTGTGTGCACAACACTGGCAAATATGGTTAGAAACCAGTGAAGAGTGATGAGTGAGAGCTCTATTAAACAAGAGAGGTAAGAAAACTCAAGACTAGTCAAGCAGACACTGATCCAAATTTAATAAAATCTAGTATTTAAACAGTTAATATAAGATATTATCTCATGAACACTATTTTACCTAAAGTTATAAAATCCACAACCATTTTAAATTTTGATATTAATATTTATTAAGTAAAAATTTAGATGTACAATGTGGAAGAATATACCATTTTTCGATGAACATTTTTCAATGTAAAATAAAAATATTTAATAATAAAACAGATTGGCAAAAACTACTAAATTCGATGACGAGGAACCCACTTTGAGACTAATAATGGTTGGAGACGGCTTGAATGGGTAATGAAGAAAAACTTTAATATACATTTTTCTTCATTACCCATTCAAGCCGTCTTCAACCATTAAAACTACTAAATGTTTAGCAAAAACAGCCGGTCGGAATATCCTTGCCTTTGCTTTAAAAAAGGGCAGCTGAATGCATAAATATATTTGGAATTGATGTAAAGCTTAATTTTTAACACAAAACACGGTCTTTTCTACCATAATTCTCACCATTAATCTAAAAAATATGTAAATATTATTATTATCTCTTATCCACCATTGTTTTCTTCTACGTATCAGAAATCAAAAGATCCCATGTACACATTTTTAACTGGTAATTTCTGTAAACTAATCAATACTTTCAGGTGATTAATAATTTTATGATGAACCAAAATAAAAGATATTAACTTAAAGTGTTTTATTTAAATTAGTCAATTTTCTTTCTTGAGACCAAGGAGTCGGACTAACCAATATCATGTTCTTTCAAGACGAAATCTAGATCAGGTAGATAACTGCAAAGAAGTGCCCTTAACACTCGCTGATCAGCTTGGACACCTATCAGGGTACTGGAGTAATAGCTGGCAGGCAATAGGTCTTCAACAATTGTACACATTAACCAAAATGTATCTTCTTCCTCCAAGAAAAGTAACAGAGATGCAGCAATCTGTAAGAAACAACAACAAAAAAACACCACTAAATTCAGAAAGTCTGGTGTCACCAATTCTTCTCTAAATTACTTTTAAGTTTGGTAAATATATGTTAAATGCAGGTAAAGTTATAATAGTTATCCAATTTGTTTTCACTACTGCTTCTAGATTTACCACAAAGACACAATACTCTATAACCCAAACATTTTTGAAAGGGGGACCTGTCTTTTTCTGGGACAAAGAAAGGTTCACCTTTCAAAAGCTCTTGGGTTATGGGGTATTGTATCTTTGTGTTAAATTAATTTCTTGAATCTAGGTGTTTTTATAACTTCTAGATCTATTACACTTGTATATTTTATAAAAGCTGATTTTTTTAACTTGTTGCATGATTTATTTGTTACTTAACTTAGATGTATGATGAATTAAACCATAACTTCATTCAATTTGATACCAATATTAACTATTTTTATACAATGAATTACATTTATTATTATTATTATTATCTAGGGTCTTTTTTAATAGAGAAACATTTAACTACACAAATATAAATAAATGATTGAAACTGAAATATACTTTCTTTTAAAATTCACACATATTTGTTTTACCTAATACATCAATCCAACCCTATAAAATCATAAGTTGTTTTTTTTTTCTAAGCTAGTCATTCCAAACTTCTTGATGAGCTTGTAGTTAAATCAAGTCTTTTAAACCTTTTACATGATTTAACATAGTGTTCAAACCTGTAATAGTTTTCCTACTTTATATACATATATCCTTAAATTAGTATTAGTTACTAAATATTTTTAAAGCAGAGATTTTAGATAAGTTGTCTTTTCTAACTTAAACACAGTCAATTTGTTTGTCATACTGATCATCCAATAAAGGATTTTATAATCTTATTTTTTAACTGACATGTTCTGGCTTTATCTTCGTATCAGAAGACATATTTTGTCAAACTATGAACTTCTCACACAACAACCTTTTCAATAATCTACAAGTTAAACCATGGACATACTAAACTAGTATCTTGTTAATCATCTACAAGCTAAACCATGGACTTACTAAACTACTATCTTGTCAATAATCCACAAGCTAAACCATGGACTTACTAAACTAGTATCTTGTCAATAATCCACAAGCTAAACCATGGACTTACTAAACTAGTATCTTGTCAATAATCTACACATCAAAACCATGGACTTACTAAACTAGTATCTTGTCAATAATCTACAAGCTAAACTATGGACTTACTAAACTACTATCTTGTCAATAATCCACAAGCTAAACCATGGACTTACTAAACTAGTATCTTGTCAATAATCTACAAGCTAAACCATGGACTTACTAAACTAGTATCTTGTCAATAATCCACAAGCTAAACCATGGACTTACTAAACTAGTATCTTGTTAATCATCTACAAGCTAAACCATGGACTTACTAAACTAGTATCTTGTCAATAATCTATGAGCTAAACCATGGACTTACTAAACTAGTATCTTGTCAATAATCTACACATCAAAACCATGGACTTTCTAAACTAGTATCTTGTCAATAATCTATGAGCTAAACCACAGACTTACTAAATTAGCATCTTGTCAATAATCTACAAACTATCCCATGAACTTACTAAACTAGTATCTTGTCAATAATCTACACATCAAAACCATGGATCTTACTATAATAGTATCTTGTCAACAATCAATGAGCTAAACCACGGACTTACTAAATTAGCATCTTGTCAATAATCTACGAACTAAACCACGGACTTGCTAAACTAGCATCTTGTCAACAGTCAATGAATCAAACCATGGACTTACTAAACTAGTATCTTGTCAACAATCAATGAATCAAACCATGTATCTTACTATAATAGTATCTTGTCAATAATCTATGAGCTAAACCATGGACTTACTAAACTAGTATCTTGTCAACAATCAATGAATCAAACCATGGACCTTACTATAATAGTATCTTGTCAATAATCTACGAGCTAAACCATGGACTTACTAAACTAGTATCTTGTCAACAATCAATGAATCAAACCATGGATCTTACTATAATAGTATCTTGTTAATGATTATGAAATAAACTTTATACTTACTACACCGGTACCTTGACAGTAACCTATATCTGGATACAACCATGCCATACCACGCAATATCCTCCTCAACCTAGGAATACCCGTGCTGTGTAAATGTGAGAAGCAGACATTGCTCGGCATAGTGCGTAAAAGGTCCTACGATATTTGGAAAGTTTTTAATTCACACATAACCAAAAACTTCAATTACATTAATAATTTCTTAAGCAAACCTTTTGTCAGGACAGTCAAGCTCTTTTAAAAAAATCATAATACGTAAACAGTATTTTAGCTGTTAATTAAGTATTCACAAATAGTTTAAAAGTTCTACATGTCCTAATGAAGTGAGGTTGATATAACCCCATCTCCAAGTAAGCTTCAATAAAAAAAACTCGCAATCCTTCACAGACACACTGCCACGGCACCAGACCCTGCCAAGATAAACTAGAAATTTCCCACCTGTTACCTGTGTTCAATAAGATACTTTGACTTATTCTTTTAATGAGCATATTTGGTAAATGTAGCTAGTATAATTTTATCTAAAATAACAACCATAACTAAATAACATATATGTCAACTTGTTATTACTCTATTACTCTTTGTATTGTTTTTTAAACATTCTGAATCAATTATTATTGTTATGGTATTCACATACACATCTAGGCATGTATACTTTATTGAGGTGGGGTTGAAATAAAATGTGTGTGGCTTCTATTAGTTATATAAAATTTCAATAAAGATTAGGGAGGTAACAAACATTTCTGCATTTTTTGTACTTTGTCTTAGATAAACAATAACTTTAAATGCAAACAAAAACCAAAATGTTTTTCAGTGTAATTTCTTATATAAAAGGCCTTATTTCGTTAATGTCCTGCACATTTATGGATAACTTTCTTAAAATATTTCTGTAAACTATTCTTGAATTGTATAACAGTTTTTTTTTATTTGTGAAGATGACCCAAAAAAGTTTAATGTTGGGGACCAAAAATAGGGTCAGTCAGATAACCAAAACCATGTAATTTTATTTTTAGGCCTGATCATAATTATTCTGAAAAAAAAAAAAATGCTAGAAACAATGAAGAACAGAAACTGGCTATCAGATAGTCATTCTTAATAACAAAACAGGAAAAACTAGAAATGTATACGAACTTCTACAAACGAACAATGTATGACACAATTTCAAGAGTCTAATAAAACTAACTACATTTTTTAAATATGCAAGATGTAACAGTCACTGGTAAAGCAAATTACTATTAAACCACACCTGATTACAACTGAATTTAGTTAATAAGAAAAGTCTTTAAATACAAATGCACAATCATCAATATATATACCTTTTCAATCTGTTTCGATGTCATTACATGATCATTAGAACTCGCTTTCACAATATCTTTGTATGTCAGGTCTGAAGTAAGCCTCTTCTGCAAACCACCCGAAAGTCTTAACCACAACTGAGGTCTCAGAGAGTGGGGTATACCTTGTCGAATCATATTTTTCAATTTTTCAGTTCGAGGAAGATGAGCTTTGACCTACAACAATAGTTTTAATCTATTGTAGTTGGACATACAAAAAGAACAGTGTACTAAAAACAAAAAGTTAATAAAATAAAAACTTTTTAAATTGGTTCTGAAATATAAATCTATTTCAGGAATTAAATTCAATGGAATATTCTAATTTCTTAAATATATGCAGCATTAGTGTGTCTGTCTTGGGTTTTGTACCACATATCCAATTGGTATATGATCCAATAGTGTTAAGTTACAAAAATTATGATGAAGTACATTTTATCTCAAGAAAGATGTAAAGAGATATGTAGCAGTACACGTGTTGTATTTTATAAAATAATTTTAAAATATCAATGGGGAAAAGTATTCAAATAAACTTCACCATAAATAAAACATATTCAAAAGTTTTCTTCATTTATGTCATAAATCAATACTAAATATTATAGTCAACTTCTCAAAAACGATCCATGGTTTGATAACAAATATTAATGTAGAAACTACATATACAATTTAAGGAAGAAATTCTTATGCTAATCTCTACGATTCCTGTGAATTTCTTTTTAACAAAAAGATAAAAACTTGCTAAACAACTTGATATCTTTTTTATTACTTTGAACCCTTGTATCATCACTCAAATGATAATAGTTAGAAATCCGTAAAACAAAGAAAAACACAAAAATGGCTCAGTAATTCATTGTATATTGATTTCTACTTTTGACACTAACTTACCATTTATGTACTTAATTTTTTTAAACAAATTACTGATAGTCCAATGCCATGAAAATAATTAAAAAGTACGAAATACGATACAATGTATGGATTTTGATTTAAAGCCAAACAATAACATGTACTTCTGATTCATCAATAATATGTACTATAAAATCATTTAAGGGGTTACAGTGGATTGCATCAAAAACAGGTGATTAAATATGAACAAATCAAACGAACAAAGGAACTAGCATCTTGACTTAATCAGAATTACAAGTTCTACGTTCATAAACAGATGCAAATATAACAGAACTTTGTATCACTTACAATCCTCTGAGATACAAACTATGAGATTTATTATTAAAATCATTCAGTAATGCAGTTTTTCTGAATTAAAGAAATACCTGAAACGTTTTTCACTTCATTGAACAGTATTTTAGAATTACAGATAACTCCCACACTTCAACAAAGTTTAATTTGCCTCACACTAAATCACAGCATTTAATCTTACTAATAATTCTCATTAAGATAATTATACGTGTAAAAGTAAAAAATAAAATGCAGCTTATAAATAAGGAAAGAAATAGTAAAATTTATTAAAAAGAAACTGCTCTGAAGTATCACATAAATCTGTATGTAAAAACTACACTAAAACCCACTCTATCCCATGTTAAGTCTCCAACTTCATTGTTGTGTGTAAATTCCAGGTATGCTATCCACTGAAGTCTATGTTGGGGGTCTTCTACAAATGGTAAACTCAGTAATTTACTGGAACTCTGTTCAGGACCATCTACTTGTACATTAAAAAACAGTATACTGGTGTAAGTACAAAAATCATATAACACTATACTGGTGTAAGTACAAAAATCATATAACACTATACTGGTGTACAAAAATCATATAACACTATACTGGTGTAAGTAAAAAAATCATATAACACTATACAGGTGTAAGTACAAAAATCATATAACACTATACTGGTGTACAAAAATCATATAACACTATACTGGTGTAAGTAAAAAACTCATATAACACTATACTGGTGTAAGTAAAAACTCGTATAACACTATACTGGTGTACAAAAATCATATAACACTATACTGGTGTAAGTACAAAAATCATATAACACTATACTGGTGTAAGTACAAAAATCGTATAACACTATACTGGTGTAAGTAAAAACTCGTATAACACTATACTGGTGTACAAAAATCATATAACACTATACTGGTGTAAGTAAAAACTCATATAACACTATACTGGTGTAAGTACAAAAATCATATAACACTATACTGGTGTAAGTACAAAAATCATATAACACTATACTGGTGTAAGTACAAAAATCATATAACACTATACTGGTGTACAAAAATCATATAACACTATACTGGTGTACAAAAATCATAACTCAATTTTGAATTACAACAGAAAAATGCTATATTTATGGCACATGATTCTTTAGAAATGGAATCCTATGAAAATTTGAATGGGGATTCCAGGGGTACCAGGGATTCCAGGGGGTACCAGGTGAAGCTCTTCTGACTAAAACTGATCTTAAGAATTTTTTGATACCCTTAAATGGATTTTCACAAATGTTCGGAAAGAAAACTGTACATACTCCTTTTCTAGTTTTCACAATTTGTCTCTAATCATTCCCATTGAAATTTGTTTTGCCTGACTTGTTATCTTTATCAAGCATTCAACAATGCCAGAAATGTTGTTCTTAAGACACATGAATGGCTACTTTATAATAAAATACACAAGTTAGATGCTTTTGTACACCTTGTTCAATTTGCTGTTGTCTAGTCATGGTGTACTTTATATCTACAGACAGTTTCCAGCAGAACTTAGTATTTTAGTTTTTAAGGGCAAAATTTAATTTCAATCCATGATTTTATGTTCTTTGGAACATCGTGTGTGAATCTAAACAAGCTCAAAATATGGAAATCCGTCGAATAGTCACATGTCCGTTGTAACTTCAACAAAAATATTAAATCTTTGATTATATGCAGTTCATATTAATAAAGTAACCATCATTTCTCTGCTGTACCAAGAAAGAACCTGTTTCATAATACATCAATATCTGTAAACCAAACTGTAGAACTTCACTGTAGCATAAAAAATAAATACACTCAACAAAAAAATCAATCAAAAATTAAAAATCTGAATATTATTGATTATAGAGGCTGTAGTTGTACAATAAGATCTGAATTTTATTGATTATAGAGGCTGTAGTTGTACAATAAGATCTGAATTTTATTGATTATAGAAGCTGTAGTTGTACAATAAGATCTGAAGTTCATTGATTATAGAGGCTGTAGTTGGACAATAAGATGTGAATTTTATTGATTATAGAGGCTGTAGTTGTACAATAAAATGTGAATTTTATTGATTATAGAGGCTGTAGTTGTACAATAAAATGTGAATTTTATTGATTATAGAGGCTGTAGTTGTACAATAAGATCTGAAGTTCATTGATTATAGAGGCTGTAGTTGTACAATAAGATCTGAATTTTATTGATTATAGAGGCTGTAGTTGTACAATAAGATCTGAATTTTACTCAACAAAAAGATATATCAGTATAAAAGTTTCACCTTCTTCTTCTACTCTGAATCCAAACTCATCAAACCTGTAGTCTGGATGGCAACCAGCATCTTCAGGCTGCAAAATATAAAAACTATATTCTAAGTGAAATTTACATAATGTCCAAGCATTCACTAAAATTCTGAAAAACTTGGTGCACTATTGTAACAGTTAATTATATATAAAATGACCAAATTTTTAAGAAGAGGTACTCGTAATTGTACGTTCCATGAAGATTTTACCAGAAGCAAAATCAAATTATAACCAGGTGAAATACCGATAGTAATATCACAGAAAGTGCCTAGACTATGTTTCTCTTTATCCTTTACCAAAAAAGTTTTAAATATTGAAGAAAAAATATCACACCTGAAATAAGATGTGCACATGTTAAATACAAGATTATCGGTATTTTTAAATTCCTCAAACTTTTAAGAATATTATTTTTCACAGTATTCTGATAATTTGGATATACTTGTGATCAGTTTATTTCCATTTTAATTTTTTTATAAGTATTCAACTAACAATTTATATTAAACCTATATTGTTATCATGCAAGATCAACTGAAAATTAATAGCTTAAACAAGTTTCTACTTTTTCATTTTTATATCATTTCTGAGAAGTTCATTTGAAGTGTAAGATTATTTTTTTTACTTATGTTTAGATACATTTTTTGGTAATGTTGTGAAAAGCATTATGTTTATTAAAACACCTTTTTTATTCAAGCAAAACATGTTTCAGTAAGCACTCACAAATGTCATATTTTACCTGCAAAACAAAGTCCAACTGATTTCTACCAAAATCTAAAATATTCGGGAAACCTTCTCACACATGTCATGCAGGTACACTAACATGATTTTCGTACATTTATTTTTCATGTAACTGTTTTATAATGATATTGCAATACATGTTGAATCAGTATTTAATTCATTTAGAATATCTTGGGCATCAAAAAAAAAAAACATTTGATTTTTGTATGTAGGTAAGAGAATAGAGGTTGTAACACATGAAGTAACAATATACTTAAAATATTTTGGATTTAAATATATTATTGACATCTATTCTAGAATAGTCAAAATATATCAGAGAAGGTGATGAAAAAACAATAAAAAGAAGTAACAACGGACACGGACACTCCATGTTAACAACTGAAAAGAAGATTCAAGTAATGTCTCAGAAACTGTAAAAAATCAGTTTTTGGGTTATCACTTCCCATTTTAAGAGAAAAATATTTGAGCTAATCCACCGTATTACACAATCAAACATATGAGAGTCACTATCCAACCATCCACAAACAGTTGTACTTGCAGTCAACAAAAATTAGTACAACCAGATCCATTAGGATGAGGAATGCGTAATGAATGAAATAATTTTTAATAACGTGGTATACAAAATATCAATCAAACCATAATCTTACATGTAAAGCAAAGAACACCCATCTTAAAGAGACGTTGGTTTAGGGAAAACTGTGATACAAGGGGAAAAGACAAGTCTAGCAGTTAATATCAGTAACCTTACTTCATCCAGTTGGTAGACGAGGATAAGTTCTAAAAAAATATTGAACTAAACCAAGAACAATAGACCATAAAGCTGGTGAAGAGCAGTCTGGTGACGGTACGAATACATTCTATATATCATGATGAGAGGAGACTTTGGAAAGGGACAGAAAAACAGTCTGAAATTAGGAACATCTGAGGCCCATGTTTACTGGACAGAGGACACCAGTAATAATAGCTCTGAAGGCAGGTTGGTATAAACAGCCAAAAAGGCCTCAGGAGAAGACTAAAATGGTTGAATCAAGAAAAAAGACCAGGGCAAGGGTCTGACAGTTATTTACAGTGTTATTTTTAAAAAGAGCATATTAAGAGATATATTAACTTTCTCAAAATATAATATTTCTGTAAGTTTAATATCACTGACAATTCATTATGCATAAAAACATATTGTTTATATATTTCCTACATACGATAAAAATATCATATTACAATATTATAAATTATGGGACTTCAAAGTGCATTTTAAACAGTGCTAGGATTTATTTTTTTTACTAGAATCCTTCCTCAACAAACAGAAAACTAATTGTTTAGTTTAGCCCTGGTCCCCCAAATATTCATCAACCCTTTTTTAAACTCTTGTAAAGTTGCAGCTTATTACTACTTTAGATAGATACATCTACAACCATCTTGGAGAATTATAACTGGTTCAACTGGAAGTGTGTTTGACTTGATCAAGTCTTAAATTTATTATTTCTTGTTTCTCAGAATCGATACATAGAATAAAATCTGAAGTGTCAATTTAATCAATTCCCATACTAATCTTGAATACTTCAACTTTAACCCTTTTCTCTTCAAGACTATCAATCCAACCCTGGAATCATCCTAGCAGCCCTCCTATGAATACTTTCAAAGAACTCAGTATTTACAATAGTGCTAAGTTAGTTAATATAACAAAACAAAAACACTTATAATAGTATTAATGAAACATCTATAATAGTGTTAGCGAACCAGGGCAAGAGAAGCTAGAAGATCCTGAGGCCACATTGAGGACGTCAGAGCAGAAAACGGACCACCTGGAGCTGGAGTGTAACCCTGCCTCATTGAAGGAGAACCCAAGGTGTTATCTCTAATTCTTAAAGAATCTCCTACATCTGATTCTCCTACATCATCTTCATCTTCAGACAAAGTCTCCACTGCAATAACAACAAAATGTAATAAAACATGTGTATAGACCTATAAACATTAAAATATTTCAAAAATACTCGACATTAATGCAAGAAATCATAGTTTAGAAAATTCAAGACACGTAAAGTTTCCCTATAACCATACGTGCACAAGTGGGGTCACAAGGTGCCTGCCATGACCTTTAACTGAGTGACGTTCAATATAATATTATATATTTGATGTCGGAATTAGCAACTATTCATTTTATCCTAAATTTCTGCAGTCCTTCACATTTGAAAAACTGGACAATAAAAGTTAACTTGTATTGACTGAATTGTACTGTTTTTCTATCAACAAGAATTTTGCTGTCTAAACTGAGACATGTTCAAAGTGTGCCACAAAACTATGGGGACCTTGTTTTAATTCTAAAAAACATAGAGGTACTCAGCTGGGTGAAGTGGACCTGTTTTTGAAAAAAACAAAAATTCTATGTGTAAAGATAAAAAACGACAAAGCAGCTCAAATAAGTCCCAGTACTTCCTTATAAATTCAGTTCCAGTACTCAGTGCTGGTAAATACCGGCATAATTTCACCCGAGTTTAGGTCACAGTCAAATCAGCTAAAACTCTATTTTGCTAGTCTGAATTTGCTTATAATTATTATAAATTTTGTACTTTAAATTCTAAAATATTGGCTTAGTTTTTCAGTTACAAATATCTGATGTCTGTATACAACAACACAGTTTTAAAATGTTGTATTACTGCATGTGTAGCATTATAGTCAATATTCCTTCTCCAATATAGGGTCTGCCCAATTTAGGCATTCTGATTTCACCAGTTGTACCTTAAATAAGATTAAAACTCGTACTTCAAGCATTCCCAACTTTTCTGAACCCTAAACATATTACATTACCACTTCTAAAATGGTTTTACCATCGTTATAAGACATGGTAGGCATGATTAACCAATGCGTCTAGATAGAAAATAAATATTTTATTTACCACTTAGCTTTTAAATGTGGAAGATATTTTAAGCTTGAAAAGAAGCACATGCTCTTAAAAAAATTTGAAAACTATTATTGAGTGCTTGGCTATGAAGAAAATAGTACACTTGGGTTATTTACAGAATGTTGAAAATTAGGAGTTAAAGAAGATATTAAAAATTTTTACAAAGTTCTTAAATGGTCATATCTGCAATTCCATGTTTCAGTTGAATTTTTATATCATAGTATTATACCGTAAATATTAATATAAACTTACAAATAGAGGAGACTACCTACTTAGATCAAAACTAAAAGTTATTTATAATGAGTATAGCTATTTGAATGTTCTTTTCTTACATTTACTCATAATAAGAACTCACTACTTCATCAGTTGGATACCCTCGTTGTTAATAATATTTTTAGCTGTAAACCCAATATCTTACAAGGTTTGGCCAGCTTACGAAATGTTTGTTAGTTATTATTCTATATACTAAGCTAACAATGCAAAACAATCTTTATGAATAAAAGTATAATAATAATAGAACTAGATATATTAAACATTCTAGCCAATACAGTTAATAAAAGTAACACTAAACAAATAGTAGAGTATACTAGGATGCTAGAGAAGTGACAAAGATAGCCTAGTAAAATATATTATATCAAACATGCCATGCGTCACGAAGATAAACTAAAATGCTTGAACTAATTTTCACTGGGAAAATGATTTTATGATTTAAGTGTTGAAAGATACTAAAGATTTTAAGAGATTAGATATGAAAAATTGTTCTGAATTCTAGAATGATGAGGTAAAAATGAAAACCTTTCCAATACCAGGGACTATCTCTCTGCCTCCCTAAACTTTCATGAACCACTAAAATGCCAGTGCAGCAAAAATCAATTGTGAATTACTTATTAATATTTTTTTTTATTCGTTTGTTTTCACGAAATCTCTCATACTGGAAAGATGGTTTTTGAAACACAAGATCCAGTCCGCAGACTGGTGGTTGAAAAATACTGCTCTAACAAAAAAACAGTGACATCACTGATGTCTTGACTATGTTCTTAAATATTCAGACTACAAGTTCTAGTCACATAATAACTCCACAGTAAACATTTTCCATTTTTTCAAATTATATAGGTATCCCTCAGAGGGAGTGTTTCTATCAAGATCAGAAACCAGGTAAATTCTTCTACCCTAATATTTTACCAATAATCATAAAAAGCAAGTGATTGACTGTGTGTTAGTTTGCAAGTGTTTAGAGGTAACTTTTAAGAAATAGAGCATTAACCCCCCCCCCCCCCCCCCCCCAAATGTGGAATTGAATTAGTTGGGCTCACCCCTAATATACACAGGAAACTTATCGCCTTTAACTGAAAAATTAAAAAACATAGTACACAAAATATCTTTTATTTAAAAAATTTCTCTACTTCTTAAAATACTGTTACAAGTCTTCGTGTCTGTAATACAAAGATAACTGTATAACTTTTATTACTATAGCACATAAACTTCTAAAGTCAAATCTGTGACTGTGTTCCATAAATATATTTATAAATACCACAAGTTATTCCACTTTATCCACAAAAAAAAAACACTTAAACTTTTACAATTAAAAAAAAAAATACATACTAAAGAATACCATAGATTTAACTTTATAATACTCTTTTATATTCACGATAATTATTTTTATTATAACTTTTATAGTTATAACTTATATTATCAACTTAGGAACTCTCTGCATTTCAGAACTTGTATTTTTCCATAAGTTGATCATTTGTTTCACTGTTGGCTATATAGTTGTAATTAACACAAGTACCATTGATAGAAACAATGACCTTTAACTAAAGAAGTTGTGATCTATGCATTGACATAAAATTTATTATTTTAATATTTATAAATTCTCAAAGAGAGTCAGTAAAATTTTGTAATTTAAATTTCAAGCATTTACTAGATACTGAAATTATAATACAACTAAAGGGGTTATACCATGTATCATATGTAAATATATTGGTTCCTTCGTACTCAAATCTATTAAATTTAAAGCACAAAAAATGAAAAACAACATTATAAAGTAATAATTATAACACTATTTATACCGTAATATAAACTAAGTATATACTATACAAGTATATGTAAAGCTGTAGTATTAATTATTATATAACATATATACTCATGCTAACAGAGATAAGAGCAAGATTACCCTTAAATTAAAAACAGTCATTCTAAATCTAAACTAATGCGACATGGACAGCTAAATCAGTAAAAAGTAAAATAAATAAGCTTACCTGCAACGTTTTTACTAGTATAACCTTCTGGAGTGATACCTAACACTGACCTTGCTATTTCCATTATCGCTATAACTGAAAGTAAATATATGACTAGAAAATAAAGTATGTAAACTTAACAACTGGTTTATAAATTAACAACTATCTCAGCCAAAAAACATATGTCACTTTCCCTCTGCCCTTCCCTGGTTCCAAAGTTTAACCAGCAGGTTGCGCTACGAGAGATGAGCTATGAGGGACCACCTTATTAAATGTTTTTAATAGTCAAATATCATAACAAAAAATGTTTATCCTCTTTTGTAATCCAATGTACTAACAATTCTCAAAATTAGTTCACTCTCTATTATAATCCGCATCTTTTTGTATACACTCTAAATTTTTTCACTGTGTTGACCTTAGCGTACTTTGTTAACCAACAACGAGTCAGCAATATCATGGGTTTTATATGTATTCTTTCTTTGATGAATGATTTCTTCGTTTTACACATATTTTATTTTGTGTTTAAATTTTCGTAACGCAATGTTAAGCTATACTTTCATTCTCGTTCTTAGTGTTCATCTTTGTTGTGCATTCAAGTATTCATTTTTTAAGTATTTTTATACAGCTTTCTTTATTTTTCTTTTTTATGATAAATTAAACGTATCTTCTGTTGTTTGATTTTGTCCATATCATTTTCAGTTTTATTAATTTTTTTGCGTGTAACTTTTAGATCCTTGTATAGATCCTGAATTCACTAAGGAAAATTACGTTTTGGTTGGATTTTTGCCTGGTTGGAATCAAGCACAAAGCTACATAATGGGCTATCTGTGCTCTGCCCACCACGGTTTCTAGCGTTGTAAGTCCGCAGACATACCGCTATGTCACTGGAGGGAGGAAAAATAAGTATAAGTATAGCACTGTGTCTAGGATATATACGCATTTGTTGTATTTTTTCATTCATATTGTTTTTCTTTTTTTTTTCAGTTTCTTTCTTAAACTTTTCCTTTTTTTTAATCAAGACGCATTTATGTTTTTATATCAATGAACAGCGGAGAGTAAATTTTTGAGGCGATTGTCTCCTGATCCAGGCTATCCCTGGGAAAGAAAGGTTACCTAAAAGCATTCAGTGCATTTTAGTTTGGTCAAGACATTTTGCTTTTCTAGAGAGTTCTAAAGGATGGAAAATGGCACTCTATTTTTCACGGCTACTTGTCACCAAGGAAGAGAAAAGCCAAATCTGTCAGTATTAATTCAACTATCAGTCATCAGTACAGTAGGAGAACCTTTATGGGCAGCTTTTGCTGCTTTCACATCGTTTGTATAGTTAAGATGAAACTTGATTAAAATGGCCAATTAATTTGACTGGCAGGTCATGGGTTTGTTTGTTTTTGAATTTCGCGCAAAGCTACACGAGGGCTATCTGCGCTAGCCGTCCCTAATTTAGCAGTGTAAGACTAGAGGGAAGGCAGCTAGCCATCACCACCCACCGCCAACTCTTGGGCTACTCTTTTACCAACGAATAGTGGGATTGACCGTCACAAATAACGCCCCCACGGCTGAAAGGGCGAGCATGTTTGGTGTGACGGAGACAGGTCATGGGAACCAACGGCAAAACAAAAAACAAAAACAAGACCCCAAAGCAAGTTGCCCAGAAGAAGCAGATGACACTAACTAAATATACACTTACGAGGTGTAAGAATCTAACAAGAAATACCCGAGAATTCGTCTGTTTGATTCCTATCCAAAAACATTATTAGATCTAACTTAGTTATATCATCTACTATAGGCCAAGCGTCCTAGGCCTACGTGTGAGTGCAAATCTGTGCTGAATAATTAGCCAGCGGGT